AATATTAAAGCGGTAGCACAGTAGGATGACAGAACAGTGTGGACGAGCAAAGTTGGGTATAAATGATATCTGACAGTGATTAAAATCACTATCATAAGATATGCTTCAATGTATATCTGTATTATTCCAAAAGCAACATCAAATCATATTTCTTTAATTATGTTCTGATTAGTATTTCTTTGTTTTAAAATTTAAAAGTCGTTTTTTTGACATTATAGACACGACAATTTAAAATTATTTTAACTTTATACTTAATGTAAATTAAATTTATAAATCTCGTATGTAAATGGGTGACTTTATCACTATAGCTCACACTCATATCACATAGTTGTAAGTTTTTTAAAATTAATAACAGTGTAAAATTTATATTGAAAAAAAATTTACTCAAAGTATTTAAATATATTTTTTTGATAAACGGGTTGTGGTATCCGAACCTCTTTTTCATGATTTCCAAAAAACGCACAAAATTTATAAAATAAATAAATTTCTTTTTAAAAATATTTTGTAAAAGTACAGGTTTAAACCTAACCCCTTTCTAAATACGTCAATGCAATTTACATTACATCCCAAAAACATTATTAGTAAGTTATTCTACAACAATTTATTAAATTTTCTGGAATTGTGCACTTTTTACGTAGAAAACGTACTTTACTCTTTAACTTTAATGTCCGTTTTCAACACGAAATCATGTTTAGATGTATATAAAAAATTATTGAAAAAAAAGTTATATTGATTTATACATTTTTTAAAAAGCTATAGCTTTATAAAGTTAAACTTTTTAAATGGAGGATTTTAACATAAAAAAGCATATTTTTACTGCAATAGCCATTTGCACATAGATGATAAGTTATAAGGACACGTTTTTTTTTAAATTAAATTATTTACATAAGCTTTAATTTAAAAAATATATATATATAAGTGTTAGTATTTCTGGAACATTTTCAAAAGTTAAGTTGAAAAAGTTCTACTTTCTATACGCATGTGTTAACATTTTGACTCTTTTTCATAAAGGGGAATAGTTCATTTTAAAAGAAAATATATTGAATAGAAAGGGTTATATAAAGTATTTATAAAAAACAAAAAGAATTGATCCATACATTTTTCAATAAGCTATAGCAATTTAAAGTTAAAAATATAAAATCCAAAATTTTAATACAAAAATAGCATATTTTTTAATACGACAGCAAGTTTCACCACGAAGACATTCTAAAGTTCAATTTTTTATTTTCAAATTAAAGTATACTACATAAGCATTAATATATAAAAGTGTCAGTATTTCCGGAATAATTTCAAAAGTTAAGTTGAAGAATTTCTACATTTTACTCGTATTTTTCAAATTTCAAATTCGCACCTTCTTCATCTCTCTCCTCGCCTTAATCCCAACTACTTTGGATCAGCCACCCTTATCCTAAACTTCCACTTGACACGATCTCCCACATCATCTACGCTTATATCAGCTATTCTCATATCGCATTCAATAGCATCCCTCCATCTCTTTTTTGGTCTTCCTCTACCTCTTCTTCCTTCAACATTCATTTCTATAACTGTTCTTACAGCTTCCGATTCTTCTCCTTTTATAACACGACCAACCTAACCGCATTGTATAAAGGGAAATTGTCCGATTTCAAAAAAAAAATAATTTTGATGAAAAGAGTAGTAAAAAGTTTTACCATAAAAAATTGTATTAATCCATACATTTTTCGAAAATTCATAATTTTTTTAACTTTGGTGTCTCTTTTCACCACGAAGACAAGTCCAGAGGTCAATTTTTTTTCAAATTAAAGTTTATGTAATAAACTTTAATTTATAATATATATATATATATATATATATATATATATAAGAGTCAGTATTTTCGTAATATTTTTAAAAGTTAATTTATTGTGGAAATGTTACAATCTTGAATCTTCCATTTTGGCTAGGTAAAGGGTCAGATTAAAAAAAAAAAATGTGCCAAATATAATACTTAAAGTATTAAAAAAAAATTTTTTTTTTATTCATTTTTCAAAAAGTTAAAAATTAGAAAATTAGCGATTTTTAAAAGTAATGTATTCGACTAGATACGATATATTTTGACATATCGTTGAAAGATATCTGTTCGATGAGAGCTAAGAAAAAGTGGAGGTTACAGACACAAAATAAAATTTAAAAAATAAATAAATAAACTCATCACAGTAAAATTCATAGATTCTTAGGTTATATAGTTGATTTAGTTTTTATTAATTGACATATAATATTAATTTTTACATGTAATAAATCTTCAAGAGTTACATTCTCAATCCTGAAAATAACTATTTAGTTTAATAGAAGTAATGAAATTGTAATTTTCTAACTAAAAATATTTGTTTTTCGTCAAATTTCACAATACAAAATAATTTTGAAAATTAACACAACAAAAAGTCAAGGGGACTATAATATTTCTCTTTAACCAGTGGCATCATTTCAATTTTTTTAGTGGGTGTAAACTTTTTAATGTGTCCCTTACTATTTTGTTCCCCTTTATGATTAAACTTATTTTAAGAAAAAAAAAAAACGTAAAAATTTTTTTCAACTTTCATGTTACAAGAAGGATATTTTAATAACACAAATGAAATTTATTTATTTAATTTATGTTTTTATTAATGAAAAACACTAATTTAAATATATTTTAAATATTAATGATCAATTCTTATTGTTTAATATTTGGCTGAATATCCAAAATAAATTTTACAATAAAAAAAATTGTCATTGAAAATCATAAATCTTTTGCATAACATATACTTGTATGTTATAATAGCAAAAATAAAAAATTTTTATATACTAATATAAATAAGTAAAAAAAACTAAAATATAAGTAGTTAATAAAACATACAAATTGGAGAATACGTACGATTCATTTTAGTGAAAACATCCCAGCCTTTAGTAAATCAATATTATTAACATATGTTTTTTCAACTGCAATTTTTAATTCACCTAAATTTTGAATTATAAAAAATATTACAATTTGTAATTTTAATATTTAAATTTATTTAATAGCTTACGTTTTGATTTATATTTAATTCATCATCAAATTTTTTGGTTTACTAAGTATTTATTTATAAATTTAATGGTCTTATAAAAAAGGCCTATCTTTTTTACAATCATAGGTTGTTAAATAATTTCTTAAAATATAATATAATTTACAACAATTCATTTAAAATATTAGAACAAAATAATATGACACACAAATATACAAAATTAATAATATTTTTAGTTACACAAAATATGATAAAAAAAAGAGAGGTTAATTATGTAATGAGAAATTACATAGAATGATAAAGCATCAAATGCAACATTTTTTTTCTTTAAGCCTAACAGTAACTTCTTTTTATTTATTATTCCATATAACTTCATAATTTTGTATTTTAATTCAAGTAATATATTACTATGTCACTCTTTTTTGAAACAATTTATTAATTTCATGTCCTAGTTAAATCAAATTTCATTTTAATAATTAATATACTTTGAATATACTTTAATATACTTTGATTAATATGTAATTAAATTAATGATAACAGCATGTACTGATTAATATGAAATGGATAATACTGATACCAAAACAGATAAATCCATATACTTGTTGTATTAGATACAAGCTGCTTTTTGTGCACTTGTGTTTTCTCATAAAACTTATAATATTTAGATTTTACTTTTCGTATAATAACTTTCATCGAAAATTTATCCAGAATTTGGCTTTAATCGGAATTAAACTACTTTTAAAATTAATAAACTTATAGGATGTAATCATATAAGATATTTTTGATCGCTTGAAAGATGAGAAAAAGTGAATTATTCCCTTATTTGTTACTCATAGAGATCGCATTTGTAAAATATCAATTCTTTTACAATGTGTCTATTTAGAAACTTATTGTACATATAATCATTGGTAATTTATAAAAGATAACAATTATATCAAAAAAATATAAAAACATTTACGACGACACTATTGAGTCCGGCTAAATATTTTGGCTCCATTATTTATTTTCGCGGGTTATTAAAAATGTCAAGAGGTGCGACACACACCCTGCCACCCCTTATTTAACCCTCTCCTGATATACATGTTCATATTCATTTTAAAGTATATAGTAAAAGTCACACCTAGCTTGATCAAAAATTGTAATCTGATGTATTTTTTATGATATTGTTATATACACTAGAAAAATGTCAAAATAATAATCTATAAATTATACATAATCTATGTGCGAAAATTTAATCAGAAAGTAAACAGTTTTATGAAAATAATTTATAAGAGCATATAAAATCTTTTTGTTTAGCAAATCACTTATTTTAGCAGGTGTTCTTGTATCAAATATACTTTTAGAAAACGCCTAGAGTCAACAAATGCTGTAATAATTATATGTAATGAATAAGTTTTTATATAAGTAAGAGTAATGTATGGTATGAACACAGAACAACAGTGGTTTAATAATAGATCAAAACCATGAAAAAAGGTAAAAGACCTATAGTGAAAAAATAATGTGAAACCGTAATTTTGTTTTAGTTATTTAAAGCGTTCTGTATGCTCACAACCAAAATACGTTTTTCGAGTTGTTGCGCATTCCCGGAAAATCGTGAAATAAACAGCTGACGACTTGATGGTGGTATTTTGAAAACTCAACAAATCAGTTAATATAAAAATGATGTGTACAAGTAAAGGATTTACTCTGAACGTCGAACAAAATAATAACATTAATGGTCACGAGGCTATAACAGTGGTTAGGGTAAAAAATCTGTGATTAAAAGCAATTCCGTAAAACGAATTTACAGTGATGGTGCAGCAACCGCTGTAGTTGTCACCCCTCACCAGCCCATTTCAATTTTCTTACGGTGGTACGCATACACTGAACTGGCTATCAGAGTAACCAACACACACACGGAAAGTGACATACGTCGGGACAGGGTGACATAGAGAAGGCGGAAGGTAGTGGTGGAGGCACTGACTGAGAGCAAAACTGAGGCTCAGTGTCAGCCGTGTTCTTTATTAATTCGGCTGGTTTGGCCGCAAACGCATGTTCATTGCCGCTGTGTGTGTGTTTATTGTATTGTACCGGCAACGCGCGCACGCACAAACCGTCGTCGCCGCCGCCGCCTCCTCTGTAGTATTTGTAAAGCATTAGTCGTAATCGTCTCCTCCGCCGTCTCACGTCGCTGTTTTATTTAGCACTATAGTTTTTATCATTAAATTATTTATGTTAAATCGTTTTTATTTATATAATAGTGTTTGTTTTAACGATTCATAATAATAATAAGAGATCATATAGTGCAGTGTTATCGCGTGTGCCGGGGTTAATTTCACATTTTTTGATTAAAAAATCAAAAAAATTAAACAATATTGATAGTGTTGCAACTATGTACTCGGCAACAACAGCAAAAGCAGCTGATTTGTTGGCCGTTCATTCTGTCGATGTTTCTTCAGTACCGCTTACCCGCCCCGTCTGAAAATTAGTGTCGGTGACAAGACGTGTGCTGTTGATATTGCATGTTGTGTCGTAGTGTCGTGTCGTCTAGTGTGCGTTTATCTTCGCCGGGTTTGACCGGTAACAACAAAACGGCGGCCCGTTTGGATCGCTACGGTAATCATTATCAATAATCTTAATATAAAATTACACAATCAACCATGTGTCGTCTCCTAATGTTCCCTATAAAGCTCTACACACATCTTCCTCGTGTAGTACATGTGTTAAACTAAATATCATTAATATTATCAGTGATAATGTACACCAAGTTATTTGATGGTTGTTGCCCTTCGTCGCGCTAATGGTTCGCTTTTAAAATATATTTTTCAATAAACTTAATTTTCTTTTAAACTTCTTCTTGTATTTCAACTAGTTCTCTTGACTAATGTATGTATTTTACGGTTATCGTTTACAGATTTTACAAATGAAACATATTTGGCGTTATGATCTACTGACGGGATGACTGAGCTCCGTTGGCTATCAGGAGGTGGTGAGTACCGTTTAATTCAATTGTTATTGTCAATTTTATTTTTATAGAAAATCATTAAAATTTTTCATTTTTCTTGTTGAATTTTTTAATGCCTAAATAAACTTATATTATTCTTTATTAGTTTATTAGTTATACACTTATGTATAAATCATTGCAAATTAATTTATGATTTTAAATACTATGTTCGCTATTTATTGCGGAATGGTTAATTAACGTGGCACTATCTTGTCACTTCTTTGTTTCTAAGTCTTTTACTCTCTCATATTCACATTCTCTCACAAGCTTCATTACTTGTATTAAACAATAATAATATTAGTAGATGCATGAATAGAAAAAAAATACTATCGCAACTTGCAGAGCGACTGAACTATTAACATGCAGTGAGGCCAACATGAAAATATTGAACACGCGTAAACCATGTATGTTATTGAATACATTTGTTGAGATAAATTTTAAAACGTTAAATTGTCTTACTTTTATATGCTCTACTTTTTATGAACAATAATTTCACTATTTAATATATACTTTCCATTTCTATAATGGTATGTTAAATTTTTATTATTTTTCAATTATTACCTTACGAACAATCCGATTACTCAAGTATGAAGCTAATAGTATCTAACCGTTGAATTATCATACAATTTTCATCACAGTTTAATTTCTGTACAATGTGTTTTCAACCTCTGTTTTTCTCAAGGTGTTTGTTTAAATTTCTACATAATTGGGTTAGGTAGAGGGTTGCTTAGCGTGATAGATTTTCCAGTAAAAACCGTCAGTTTGATAGAGAGAGAGATTTATGTTGGTAAAAGAGAACACGATTATACCACCGCCTAATAAAACATAATAGTAATATATAAATATATTACATGTATATAAGGATAGCAATACTTGTACAATATAATAAAATGGCGTTTTCTCTATTGAACGTCGTGTAGAGCCCGGACGACCGGAGGTAGAAGTAGCGGTGGTTGATACCGCAAGGGGTGACGTGCTTGGTGAGTAGTAATGTAGGTACGGGGAGAGAAAAAGAGACGTGTATATTTATTATGTGAGGGGCACGGTGCTGCTTCGGTCGTTTCGCTAAACATAGCCACACACACACTACGCTTGAGCACAGAAGAGTGTTATAAAACTTCAACCCGCGTAACTGGGCAGCGGCAGTTTCCTCTTACTGCCATGTTCCATTGATCGTCGACGTGTATTGCAAAACTTAACTGCTTAGAAAACAAAACCGTATTTCTTAGCGGCACTACCGCCACTTGTTTTATCTGGCCGTATTTTTAACTTTGTATTTTCAGTATACCGAATTTGTATTTGGGTAAATAGTAGATTTCTTTGTCCAAAGTTTGGTTAAGATACCGGTCTGTACCGAGGCATATACTCAATAACGTAAGGTGGTAAAAGGAAGGGTAGATTTAAAGTTGAGTTATCCCCCGGTAGAATAAAATGGGAGCTCTGGGTAGCCGCCATCTTTGTGCGTAGCCACCGCCTATCCTCTCCTCCCTTGTTACCGTCATCTCACTGGGTAATGGTTTCGAAATCAAAGTCAAACGGCCTCTACCGTCGCTGGGCAAATCCTCTGTCCGTGTCGTCGCGTATTCCGCCCCATCGTTGCCACCGCGATAATGTAAAACGCACTGAGTGTTTACCATCTCTCTTCGCTATTACCACCCTCTACCCCCTTTTCCAAACCTAATGCAGCTGTTGGTCGAATGTTTTGTTATATATGTGTTGAAATTCGATCAATAAGTCCTGAAGTATTAAGTCACTTATATTTATATACATAATGATCTTATTTTTTCAGAATCTACTAACCTTGGGCTTTTACTAAACACAGTAGTAACGACAATTTTCTTTAGGCTACGAGCTATGGAATTAACGACAATATTGTTGACCATGTTGAAATTTTCAACATATTAGAAAATGTAATTTTTTGTATATCAAACTTAGGTTAATCAGTAAAATGTTACAGTTTATAATAACTGTTCAATTTTTAATAACTTACGAAATATCGTTGAATGACAAAACGACTTGCTAATATATATGTGTGAGTAAATTTCATATCGAGAATGAACGACAGAGAAATTGATCAATAGCTGACGTTTACTTAAAGTAAGTAGGTCATCACGAAACGGACACTGATTTTCTCGTGTGCCCTACCGTTATGATAACTATTTTATTTGCTAGATGTAAAATAGATACAAAGTAAAAAAAAAAACTATTAAGTGTAATTGACACCCCTTATTAGTTTACCAACAACAACAACAATAAATAAATTTTGAATAAACGGTTAAATTGTTGTTTATTATTAGAGGGTTATAATATTATCCACCGATAGAAGGTGTTATTTACAACAATGGTTTGTTAAATGCCTTCTTTCGCGAAATAGGAAAAAGTGAGCGAAGAGCAACACTTATTGAATTAATCTAAGATTCACCTAGTGGCAACACTGCCGGTCGGTGGTCTCCCCCTTGTGATAATATATGCTATTCAGAAGGTCGTTGAATGGCCGTGGATCATTGTCATACAGCATGACCGGATAAATTGTCGACGAGATTTTTCCTGTGCTATCTTTTCATAAATTAGCTTTTCTCTAATAATTTTCTGAACATTATCCAAAATCCAATTTTGCAATACAACTACCAACATAAGGCCTTTTTTAAAACAATATATATATATATACTATTCAAATAGATGACAATCTTCGGGGTAATTAATATTGATGTATTTATTACAATAGTAATTATTTAAAACCACACCTTAATTATATACGTTTATAATTTTTCTCAAATACGCTATTTATTCATTAATTTATACTGACATTGTAGTTTATTACATATTTTTTTAGTAAATAACACTCAATCCATGTTAAATGTTTATTTGAAAATCACAATTAAAATTAGATATAAATTTTTATAATAAAGAATTATTTTTAAATTTCGAAAACATTTTTTATTTATTTTTTGTCAAAATTATTATAAAAATTAATATTATTAAGCTTTGAAATGTCATTAGGATAATAACGCTGTCCTATAATTATGTCATGATATGGTATGTTGATATCTTTCATCATAATTAAATTACTCTTACATTGTGGAATTTATTTATACTATCCATCATTTTTTCGTTAGATAATGATTTTTTCATAAAAATGTACTGATTAAAACTTTATTTACTTTTATGAACTATAGTAAATATCGAGTTAATTGTAAGAAATAAATTATTTGTAATGGTAAATTTTCTGTGAACAGAAAATTTAATTGGCAATCTATTATTGTTTTATTACTATTAAATAGAGAATGGTCTAAATAAAATTTTGACAGGTCTACAACGAGTATTATGTTATTGCTTTTGAGATATTAACATTTGAAGATGTATAAAAAGTGATAAGAGAGATGTGTTAGCAACGATCTATTTTCACTATAAAGCACAGATAGATAAGTTGTTTTGCGTTGCGTACCCCTCCACCTATAACTAAAAGTTGTATTAACACAGAAAGTAATATTACAAAACTGGTTACGACTAATCAAAATTTTATTTTGATAATTTTCCATTTTATAGTAAAATAATAATAATAGCCTACTTTTTGACCATTAAAAGTTAACCCTAAAATTTATCATTTGAAGTAATTTTTTCTTATGATAAACTAAATATTAACTATGGTTTATAAAAATAAATTTTATATTTTTATGTAAAATTCATTTAATGAAAAAATGAGGAGGTAGTGTTCTTAATAAATATTAAATTGAGTATTAACTAATGATTTTTTAAATAATAATTATTTTAATTTATTTATTGTTTATAAAATTATTTTCCTAAAATTCATGAGCTGATTAAATGTTTTGTAGAGATAAAAAAGTCATATTTCGTATAAATAAATATTATGGACTTAGTTGATCTTTGTATTGATCATGCAATACTATTTGAAATTTTGTAGAACTATGAAGGATTGTACATTAACCAAGATTATAAATTATATTTTAGTATAAGTCATTTTTTAAGTATAAAAAAAATATGTGGACCCTTAAGCTATTTATTTTAACGACTATTATAGTATTTAGTTTTCTGGAAAATTTTATTTGACTTAATATTTTCGACATTGATTTCTCAGTAGATATCGAAAAGAAAACTAGATTAGCTGTTTTTTTTAATAAAATTTTTCTCTAAACAATCAATGTTTTATTAAGATAATTCGTAGTTCTTAGTCATTGTAAGTAAATTAAAACAATATATATATATATATATATAATCTTAAATAAAGATTTAACACTAAGATGTTAAATTAATTTTAACACGAATATTTATAGAAAAATAAAATATGATGCTACAACCAATATGACAGTCTAAGCGTTATTTTTTTAGTCTACCTCAGTTGATTGTGAAACTTGGTGTGTGTTTTTTATTTTATATTTGATAGAAACGTGGCAACACTGAAGAGATTCGAATTTAATTTGCTAATTATAATATAGACGTTGTACAACGGTCCTTGAGATATTGCCCTCCCCTCCATCGTATTCGCTTCCCCAATTGTACTGCGGTCGACTGTTTCGGAAACACAGGGAGCTTATAATATATACAAATATATTGTATTCCCTCTGATCGGACATAACCGCACTTCTGTGTCGATAAAAGTGCAACGTAGGCGTTTTTCGTGGGAACCGGTGAACCACGTTACGTTCATCGTCCCCCGTCCACAGTTGGTAGTAGCAATTGTGGCCTGTGCGGTATTATGAAGATTCTACCGTGTTTTCCGTGCGCGTTGAGTTGATATAACCAAATCTGAACGACTGGCAGCGGCGGCGGCGGCGGCGGTTAAGGAACGATACGACTGTGCTAGGACACGCGGCGTGCGCGCCAGACATCAGACGTGCCCCGCAGTGCCCCGCTGATATAAATAATTGTAGCATTACCGTTCGAGCCGGTCGCAGTCAGCTGACTGCCCACTCAGCCGTACTAGCGGCGGTGACGACGACAATGACGTCACGAAGTATACGTTGCCG